ATCAATCCCATTTACACATGCACCAAAAACAATAAAATATCTAGGAATAAACCTAACCAAAAAGGTGAAAGACCTGTACTCTGAAAACTATAAAACACTGATGAAAGAAATTGAAGATGACACAAAGAAATGGAAAGACAGATGGCTCAGTCGTTAAGCATCTGCCTTTGGCTCAGGTCATGGTCCCAGGGTCCTGGGATTGAGTCCCACATCGGGCTCCCTGCTCGGCGGGAAGCCTGCTTCTCCCTCTCCCACTCCCTCTGCTTATGTTCCCTCTCTAGCTGTGTCTGTCTCTATCAAATAAATAAATAAAATCTTTTTTAAAAAAAAGAAAAGAAATGGAAAGACATTACATGCTCATGGATTGGAAAAACAAATATTGCTAAAATGTCTATACTACCCAAAGCAATCTACACATTTAATGCAATCCCTATCGAAAACTCAACAGCATTTTTCACAGAACTAGAACAAGCCATCCTAAAATTTGTATGGAACCATAAAAGACCCGGAATAGCCAAAACAACCTTGAAAAAGAAAAAAAAACGGAGGCATCAGAATCCCAGACTTCAAGTTACGTTACAAAGCTGTAGTGATCAAAACAGTGTGGTACTGGCACACATGGTTAAGTGGAACAGAGTGGAAAACCCACGAATGAACCCACAACTATAGGGTCAATTAATCTTTGACAAAGCAGGAAAAACTATCCGGTGGGCAAAAGACACTCTCTTCAACAAATGGCTTTGGGAAAACTGGATGGCAACATGCAAAAGAATGGAACTGAACCACTTTCTTACATCATACACAAAAATAAATTCAAAATGGATTAAAGACCTAAATGTGAGATTTGAAACCATAAAAATCCTAGGAGAGGACACAGGCAGCAACTTCTTTCTAGCTATGTCTCCTGAGGCAAGGGAAGTAAAAGCAAAGATAATAAACTATTGAAACTACATCAGAATAAAAACCTTATGCAGTGCCTGGGTGGCTCAGTTGGTTAATAATGCAACTGCTTTTGGCTCAGGTCATGATCCTGGAGTCTCAGGATTGAGTCCCACATCGGGCTTCCTGCTCAGCGGGGAGTCTGCTTCTCCCTCTGATCCTCCCCCCTCTCATGCTCTCTCTCTCTCTCTCATTCAGTCTCTCTCTCAAATAAATAAAATCTTTTAAAAAATAATAATAAAAATAAAAACCTTTTGGGGCACCTGGGTGGCTCAGTTGTTAAGCATCTGCCTTCGGCTCATGTCATGATCCCAGGGTCCTGGGATCAAGCCCCACATTGGGCTCCCTGCTCTGCGGGAAGCCTGCTTCTCCCTCCCCCACTCCCCCTGCTTGTGTTCCCTCTCTTGCTGTCTCTCAATGTCAAATAAATAAAATCTTTAAAAAATAATAAAAATAAAAACCTTCTGCACAGTGATGGAAACCTAAAAGGCAACCTACAGAATGGGAGAAGATATTTGCAAATGACCTAACCAATAAAGGGTTAGTAGCCAAAATACATAAAGAACTCCTACAACTCCAAAGAACTCCTACAACACCAAAGAAACAAATACTCCAATTTAAAACTGGGCAGAAGGGGCGCCGGGGTGGCTCAGATGGTTAAGCGTCTGCCTTCGGCTCAGGTCATGATCCCAGGGTCCTGGGATCGAGCCCCTCATCAGGTTCCCTGCTCAGCGGGGAAGCCTGCTTTTCCCTCTCCCTCTCCCACTCTCCCTGCTTGTGTTCCCTCTCTCACTGTGTCTCTCTCTGTCAAATAAATAAAATCTTTTTAAAAAATTAATAAATAAAAATAAAAAAATAAAAATGGGCAGAAGACATGAATTGACATTTCTCCAAAGATACACAGATGGTCAACAGACACATGAAAAGATACTCATCATCACTTATCATCAGAGAAATGCAAGTCAAAACTACAATGAGATATATCACCTCACACCTTTCAGGATGGCTAAAGTGAACAACACAAGATTTGGAGAAAGGGGAACCATCTTGCACTGTTGGTGGGAATGCAAACTGGTGTAGCCACTCTGGAAAACGTTATGGACGTTCCGCAAAAAATTAGAAATAGGACTACCCGATGATCCAGCAATCACACTACTAGGTATTTACCAAAAAAATACAAAAATACTAACTCAGAGGAATACATGCACCTCTATGTTTATAGCAGCATTATCTACAATAAACAAATTATGGAAAGAGCCCAAGTGTCCATCGACTGATGAATGGATAAAGAAAATGTGGTGTGTAAATATAGTGGAATATTACTCAGCCATAAAAGAATGAAATCTTGTTTAAAATGACATGGATGGAGCTAAAGAGTATTATGCCACTCAACATTAAGTCAGAGAAAGACAAATACTATATGATTTGGCTCACATGTGGAATGTAAGAAGCAAACAAAATGTAACAAATGAACATAGGGAAGAAAAAGGAGAGGGGGGCAAGCCATAAAACAGACTCTTAGCTATCGAGAACAAACTGGTAGTTAGCAGAAGGGTGGTGCATGGGGGGGATGGGTGAAATAGGTGATGGGGATTAAGGAGGGCACTTGTTGTGATGACCACCAGCTAATATATGGAAGTGTTGAGTCACTATATTGTACCCCTGAAGCTTATATTACACTATATGTTTAACTAACTGGAACTTAAAGACTTAAAGAAAAGAAGACAACCCAGTTAAAAACTGGGCAAAGGACTTGAATAGACATTTTCCCAAAGGGTATAACTAAATAGCCAACAACCACATGAAAAGATGCTCAACATCATTAATCATAGGACAGTGCAAATTAAAATCAGAGTGAGATATCACAACAGACTCATCAAATGACTTAAAGTAATTGACAATACCAAATGACTGCAAGATGCAGAGAAACTGGATCACTCATCCACTACTAGTGGGAATGTAAAATGATACTGCCACTGTGATAAAACAGTAACTGCACTCCTGGGCATCCATCCTAGAGAAATGAAAAACTGTTCATACTAAAACCTGTCCACAAATGTTTTTAGCAGCTTTATTTGTAATAGCCAAAAACTGGAAACAACCCAGATATCCTTCAACAGGTGAATGGTTAAACTGGTAATCTGTACAATGAAATAGTACTCTGCAATAAAAAGGAACAAACTGTTGATACAGCAACAGCCTGAGTGAATATCCAGAGAATTGTGCTGAACCAAAAATGCCAATACCAAAAATTATATACTATATGGTTCTATTTATATAACATTTTGAAATAAAATTATACAAAAAGAAAGTCGATTAGCGGTTGCCAGAGGTCAAAGAGTGGGTGGCCGAGAGAGAAATCAATGTGGCTATAAGAGCAAATAAAGGATTGTCATAGTGAAGGAAATGTTCTCTGTGTTGACTGTGTTAAATTATATTGTTTTGCAAGGTGTCACCAGTCACCATTGGAGGAAACTGAGTAATGGGTACAAGAGATCTTTCTGTATTGTTTTGTACAGTTGTATGTGAATCTACAATTGTCTCAAAATAGAAAAAATTTTTAATATAAATGAAGGGCTTACGGGGACATACATTGTTCCTTGCATTATGTGTTCTAGACTGGGTGTTTTGTGTCTTTTGCTGATTTGTTCCGTTTCTGGTGCCTTTGCTTAGTTGTCATGCTGTTTCTTTTGCTCATGCTCATGCTCTGTCCAGATTTTCTCATTGCTGTGGTAGAGCACAAAGGAAATTCTCCTTGATACTCTTCCCACCTTATCTGGAACTAATTTATCTTGTCCTTAAGAGCTGCAGGCACTGCATTTTGGTCCACTGCTCTGTAGACCGAAGGGGTGGAAGAAGGGGGCGGGGAGACTTCTCTGGAGTAAATGCAGCCCTTCCTCAAGAACCAATATTCTGTTCATCCTTCTGATCTCGTTAAGTGTCCTAGACACAGCCCACTCCTCCCCTCCAAGGTACATCCCACTCTATGGGCTTAGGGTTAGTCCCTCAATTTAACATAGTGCCCTGAAAGATTCTGCACCCTGGAAGCCCTCCTGCCCTGTGCTTAAGTCTCAGCGAGCTCTATAGGAGCTTCTGTTGGAGTTGTCCTTGACTTGCTATCACTAAACTGAAGTTTTTAATGAAGTTCTAATCTAATAGTCTCACTCCCACGGCTATTTCTGAGAAGTAGGGTTAGGGGTAGTATTAGCAGACATGGGGGACCATCCAACACTTGAATCTAGTGTTTCTTTTTCCAACTGCTCCTTTTCAAAATATTTGGTTTAAATTTGTAACCCCTTTTATTGTTTAGTTGTGGCTGAAAATCTTTTAGCAGTTCTGTTTTGTCATTATTTTTGTTTATGTTATTAGAGATTTGAAGGAGAAATAATCTGTGAATCTGCTTTACGCAGTACTTTAATGGAATTCTCACTTATTTTATAATTATGAAAAGCAGGTGTTTTTCAAGGATTTCTAATATTCAGCAAAAACTCAAAGGCCTTCTGGCTTTAATTCTCTCAGTCCTCCTTCATTAAAAAAGGCCTCGAGGGGCACCTGGGTGGCTCAGTCAGTTAAGCATCTGCCTTCGGCCCAGGTCATGATCCCAGGGTCCTGGGATCGAGTCCCACATTGGGCTCCCTGCTCAGCGGGTGGAGGGTGGGGGGGGAGGAGTTCTGCTTCTCCCTATCCCTCTGCCTGCCGCTCCCCGTGCTTGTGCCCTCTCTCTGTCAAATAAATAAATAAACTCAAAAAATAATGCCTTGAGATCACATTTTGAAATAGTATTTATTTCACTATTCTAAGCTCTCTTTTTGGATTGATCTAGGATTTTGTTTACTGCTGAAGTCCATCTTGAGTATTTTAGCCCTTATTAGTTTTTCTCTTGCTTGAGCAGAGACAGTTATAGAATAGTATTATGCAAAGTAACAGATAGGATTCTTCCACCTTTGTTGTTGTTGTTACAAGAATCTTTATGGATATTATCCTAAAGAATTCCAGGCTACAGGGTCCATTTTTGTGCTTGGTTATAATTACTTGAAATTATTGTATCTTTTTTTTTATAGGAATCAACAGTGAAAGAACCTGAAATTACCACAACCCTTCAGATACACTTCTTTGGAAAAAGAGGAGAAAGAAAACTTCATTATCAGGAATTTCGAAGGTAAATGCAAATATTTATATTCATTTAAGAAAATTTATAGGTAAAAGTTTATAAAACAACTGAATATACTCATTTCCCAGAACTGCAGACAATAAAACTAAATGTATGGATCTATATAGTATTTATCTCTGAGAACAAAACCCATTTAAAAAAAAACTGAAGTTACTATGCTCAAAAATATCTAACCTATTATGAAAAGTAATACGTTTTATAGAATACAATTTTATTTTATTTAGTTATTTTTTAGTCAGGGCTGTCACAGGTGTATAGGGGTTTTTGGTAGCACAGATCATATAATGTACTAGTTTGGAGTTTGGGAATAGTTGATCAGGGAAGACTTTCTGAAGGAAATGGCACCTGAGCTGAATCTTGACGGATGAGCAGAAATTACCCAAGCAGAAATGGTGTGGACAGGAAAACATTTGAGGAAAAGAGAACAGCATGAGAAAAGACGTAGAGGCATGAAAATGTATGGTTCGTGAAGGGAATTACAAGCAGCTGACTGTAGGGTAGTAGACGTAAGGTGGCGTGATAAAAGGTGAGAACAGAGGCTGGAGAAGTGTGTACCTGCCTTCAGAAACTTTTGTACTCCGAAAGATCAAGCTTGAATTAACAGTGGGAGGCCCTGAAGAATGATGCATGAGGGACACCTGGTCAGCTGTGCGTGTCATTTTGGCAGCAGAATAAAGGATAGATTTTATGAGAGAGAAGACCATTCAGATATTCCAAATAAGAAATGATGAGAACCTTGAACTGGTGTAGTGGCAATAAGGATTTTGAAATAGAGTTTTCAAGGCCTATTTAGGCGAGTAAATTGTAGGGCTTAATGATTTAGGAATGAGGTGGAATGCATGAAGACCCAAGTTTCGGGGCACCTGGGTGGCTCGGTTGGGCATTTGCCTTCGGCTCAGGTCATGGTCCCAGGGTCCTGAGATCGAGCCCCACATTGGGCTCCCTGTTCAGCAGGAAGCCTGCTTCTCCCTCTCCTCCCAGCTCATCTCACTCGTGCTCTCTGTCACTATCTTTTTCTCTCTCAAATAAATTTAAAAAAAAAAATCTTAAAAAAAAAAAAGACCCAAGTTTCTGAATTATGTCAAATCACAGTGTACCCCATAGCTAAACTCCAGTAAGTCATTTTAACCTCTCTAGAACAGTTTTTCTCCACAAAATTTTTTTAAATGTCTCTTCTTATATACTTGAAAAATATTAGTATCTTAACATTTCTTAAAATTTCAAAATAAATATCATGATTTAAAACCAAACAAAGCCATTATCATCAACTGCACTTGTTCACACTAATACACCACTCCCTCCTCATTTTAAGATTCCCTAACCTGGTTAAATTTTTTTTTTTTTAAGCAATTCTCCAATTTTATTGGATACTTTGAAGGAAACTTTCTTTTTTTTTTTAATTTTATTATGTCCCTGGTTAATTTTTAAAGTTGTGGTAACTTTAATTTTCTTTAAAGGGATAATTTTATTTAAAATTCTTTACTTTAAAAAAATTTTTTACTAGCATTTCTGTAAATAATTAACTCAGTGAAATTTGTCATGCCATCATGCAGTTAAAAAAAAGATCCAATTAACAACAAATGCTTTAAATGCAGTTTTTTGGGGTGCCTGGGTGGCTCAGTTGTTTCAAGTGTCTGCCTTCGGCTCAGGTCATGATCCCCTTCGGCTCAGGTCATGATCCCTGGGATCAAATCCCGCATCGGACTCCTTGCTCAGAAGGGAGCCTGCTTCTCCCTCTGCCTGCCCCTCCCCCTGCCTATATTCTCTCTCTCTCTCTCTTGCTCTCACTTGCTCTCTGGCAAATTAATAAATAAAATCTTTAAATGAATGGATGGATGGATGGATGAATGCAGTTTTTCAAGAACTTGTCTCTTGGACAGAGCAAAGTTCTCCTAAAGTTAGAATTAGTATTGTACTAGCTAGAATTGATAATTATAAAATGTCTTTAAAATTTTGCATGAGTCATAAAGTAACAGAAAATAGCCTCTGTGTATATATAATGTTTCTAAAAACTTTTCACCAACATACTGACCAAATTAATAATTAAAATTCCATGAAAATTTTTGTGGCCTGTGTTATTTGGAGTTTTGAGTCTGGTTTCTATGGGAGTGTAATGTATCCTCCTCCTTATAAAAGAGATGTTTGTCCTTGGTCTCAGCCACCTTTTTACAGTTTCTCTGATAAGGGATAATTTGGGCTTATTAGTTTCAAGGAAAGGCAAGGAAGGTGACACAAAATTACAGCTTTTGTGGTAGCTACTTACAATATTTGCCTATAGATATTAGCTTCTCATTTAGAGAAACAGTACTGATTTTCAAAAACACGTATTTGTGATTTATACAGACCTGGATTCAAATGCAGAACTTCACCATTTATTAAGTGGACTTTGATGAACAAGCAGTTTAATCTGAGTCTCCAGTCCAGGCCATTTCTTCATCTCTGAAATGACAATGCTGATATCTACTTAATAAGTTTATATAAATATGTTAATTTATTATGTGATTGTATATAATTACAATGAATGTATTGATTCATGCATAATTTTTAATATGTTGATTTATATATAATTTCTTATTCTAAACAGGAGTCCAGCTGTAAATTGGCACTTGCAATAGAATATAAGTAGGTGGCTTATGAGAAGATGAGAAAGATGAAGAAAAGAAAAACAATGGTAGTGTCATAAAATGGAGTCAGTAATTAGGCTAGTACACAAAGTGCAAATCATGAGATTCTATGCACTTGATGAGAGTAAGCCACAAATTTGACTCTGGGCTTTCTGACAGACAGTATGAAGAGGGGATACATGATCAGTTACACAGTTCACTGCATCCCTAAGCACTGATTCTACGTAAGGGGGGAGGGGGCATTTATTCCTCATAGGGCCAGAAAGAAAGTTTCCCATGGGTCCTATAAAAAAGGACACTGTGTAATATAAAGACTTACATTCTTAACAGTTATAGTAAGACCAGCAACAAATTTCAAATTTCACAGGCTGTTTTTTTATAGCATCTATCAGCAGAGAACAACCAAAATCATAATTTTAAGCATGGAGGCATACTTCACTTCAGCTTCTAAAATTCAGCTTTTTCTTTAAAACCACTTTACACTTTAATAGGCAAGTACAAGTACTAATAATTAAATACCAAAAATTTAGAAATTGGTAGCAATATAAAAGGGAAAAAGCACTGGACTTGGGATACAAATAGGTGTAAATCCTAGTTATGCTATTTAGCATTTATTTAGCTGTATGGTCTTGGGCAAATCATGTACGTTTTTTTTGTTCTTTGTAAAAATTAATTTTCTCTAAGATTTTATTTATTTGACAGGAAGAGAGAACACAAGCAAGGGGAGCAGGAGAGGGAGAAGCAGGCTCCCTGCTGCAGGGAGCCCAGGGTGGTTCGATCTCAGGACCCTGGGATCATGACCTGAGCCCAAGGCAGCCACTTAACCAATTGAGCCACCCAGGTGCCCTGTAAAAATTTATAAAATGATACTTGTCCTGCCCATTTTAGAGAGTTGTAAGTAAATATAAAAGTAAATTTAAAAATTAGAAATCATAACAATTTTTAATCTAATAAAGGAAAAGAACAGATCTCTAATTCATCCAAATTTCTCCCTTCTTAATCTTTATTCTGTTCTTTCTGCTCTTATTTATGTTAATATCCTATCCCCCACATGAAAAGTCTGAGGTTGATCTGAGAATTAAATGAGGTAACATATTAAAGTACACACAATGTAACACATAGTAGGCACTCAGAATATGTGCCAAACTCTTATCAACTTAAATTATTTTTAGAGTTTCTAGCAGCTTTGTTTCCCAGCTCCTAGGGCTCTCTCCTTAGGGAATTCTTTTTCTCTGGCTTTTTTCTCTGTTTGCATTTCCCCAGCTCTCTTGGTCAAGATACTTCTTCAGCTTAGAATTTCCTCAGTCTCTTGCCAAAGGCTCCTTAATCCAACTTCTAAAGAAAAAAAATCAAAACTAAAATAAAATTATAGCATATTCATCTTTTTTCCCCCAAGGACTGACTGCTTTAAAATTCAGAGAGAAGGATTTTTTAAGTGAGAAGAGAAAACTAGACACCACTTGTATTTTTCATCACAGATGGCAAAGTTGTTTCCACTTTTATTATCAATTTTTGTATTTGAAAATTCAGTAGGAATTGTGAAGTTGTAATCAGTTTTATGAAGGATCCCTAGCCTTATAAAATTTTCTGGAAATATGCTAGTAATGTAATTAAACTTACCAACAAATACAAAGTTACAAAGCAATTATTAATATAGATATGATGTGTCAAATAAGAAAAGGGAAAGGCAAGGCTGTAAAAAAAAAAAAGGCATTTATTTGGGATCTTGGGAATCGCAGCTCAGAAGACAGAAATTAAGGCAGCAACCCAGATTGTGCTTCAAAGAGACAAAGGAGCTTGGGATTTTTAAAGGCAAAGGAGGAATTTTCGGCACATAAGTTGTTTTTTTTATGATTGGTGCTGGCAGGGTTACAGTAACACTGTTCCATACATGATTGGTTGCTAAGATTACTGCTAGGCAGAAAGTCCTTTTAAGTCCATTCTTACATGCAGCAGATGTTCATCCTGGATGTTTGCAGTTTGGCAACAATCCAAGTTTAGCATTTTTCTGAGGACTGAGACAGGAAATATGCATAGGCCCTGCTTCTTCAGCATCCTCCCAACTCCATTTTAAGTGACTCTTTTAGCAATGCTTATTCCATTCTATTGTTCTTTTATCAATAGGAAGAGGTATTGATGTCATATTTAATCAATCAATATTCCAGATTTTGTTTCATGCATTATTTAAATTCTTAAATTATAAATTTAAATTCTTCACACAAAGGAACTTAGAAGTTTCTGGAACAAAAACATCCCTTAGCAACTGTAGACTTTACACTAAGGAAAAAGCAGTTATTTAAAAATCTGTTTTATAGTCCAATAAAACATAATTTTGTTTAAATCTCTGGGTCAAATTTTACTTTA